GGTTGGCATGGGGGGCAGGGGGAGGGTGCAGGGGGTGGGTCGCAGGCGAGGAACGGAACCACTTACAGCCTTTCCAGCTTCGGCAAATGCTGAAATGACTCCGGGTCCAAAGTTTCTATCTGATTAAAGTGCAGGTATCTGGGGAAGTTAAAAATAAAATGGTTTTAGTGATTTTAACTACTTTTTACGGGTCTAGATTTTCTGCTCAAAATTTTTCTACAGTCATTTCAAATGCGTATGTCAACAGATAGCCCTTTAGCTTTTCTACTCTGTGGGGAACAGCAAAGCGGGAAGACTGAACCCATGAAGAACGAGCCCGGACTGTGTATGGCTGACAGGCCGGTGGAGCTGGGGGTCAGGCACGCCGGCCAGCACAGCCCACTCTGCCGATCCACTGTGAAAACATCTGGACCTCTCTAGAAGAACGACCAGCACCACCTTCGCTGCAGCATGTGTGTGGAGGCGTGAACACCTCGCTCACCGTTCCTGGCCCACGCGTGGATTCAGCAGGGGTCAGCTCTGCTTTGACACTGAGCATGTGGTGACTGCAGACAGCACTAGGGGAACCCCAGAAGCCACACGGGGTGAGAGGGAGAACACATTTCCTCAAAGGTCCTTTCGGCATGTGGCTCTCTACTTCTCAGAACTTACACATTTTAGATACAAGTAATTTCTTCTAATTTTCCTAAATACTTCTTTTTCGCTTTAAAACTTGGTGTTTTTCCTTAAGTAAACCGCTGAGTCGCCTTCTAAGTGGGTCCCGTCCACACAGCAAAGTCCCTGTCTGCACCCCTGCCCCACGCATTTCAACTGTCAGGCTCTCTGGGGACACTGGGGACTGACAAGCATGACAGAGGAAAGCGCCAGCTGTCACAGTCCATCACAGCGTAAACAGAATCAGCTTTCTTAAAGCTCGCCCTCCGTCAGGAGACACTTTCACTAACTGTTCTAAATCCTTGTGTCCTCAAGGTCGCCAATCATCACGTGCACACGCCCTGTCCTGCTCACGTGTGAGTCTGCCCCGGGCCAGCTCGCCAGGAGTCCTGAGCCATGACACAGTGACTCGCATCTCTGAGCAGGTGCGAGGCCCAGATGGGCCGGGCTGGGGGTCCGCAGCCTTCGGGCTAAGAGCCGGGTCACTGCGCTGCCTCCCACCACCCTCCTGCCACTTATACCTAGGGACGTGGCCTTAGGGGACGGAGTCAAACGAGACCCTCCACCAGCCGTGTGCAGCAGCTCCAGGCCACGGCTGGAGGGGCCACCGCGAGGACAGACACTCGGAGCAGACACACAGTGTCGCTCAGGGGAGCGGGCAGGGGCAGGGCGAAGCCGGCCGAAGGCAGCAGGGAGCCCCAGCCCACCCGTGCACAGTGTGCACGCACACTCAGGCCACCAGGCAGGGCTGACCGATGGGACACGGGGCCCTGCCTCGCAGGCACTAAGAGCCCTCGCCGCCAGGGCTCAGGGACACCTGCAGTGGCCACAGTGCTGGGGACCTTGGGGAGGTCCCCCGGGGAGGAAGCCACGGCACAAAGCGACCCCCTCTAATCCACGGCCCCGACCCCGGCTGGCACGTCAGGGGCTCCACAGAGCCCGCAGGCCTGGGCCTTGCAGGCTGCCTCCCACCCTGCTCCAGGGTCCTGTCCCCTCTGGTCTCCGTCTGGCTGGGACGGCACCCCCTCCAAGGAGCCCAGGGTCTCCACGGGCTGGAGACGCAGTCAGTGCAGACCCCGCAGTGCTCTGCACACGGCAGGGACAGCGCCTACCCCGTGTGCCTGTGGGGTACCCATCTCCCCCCTAGGCAGGCCTCCCGAGGCCGGGGCCCCGGCCCTGTGTCTCCATCTCCATCAGATGCTCGGTGACGACAGCTCAGTGGAGCGAAGCCACAGCAGCAGGGACCCGACCACCTGGCCGTGGGCTCCACCGGTCAGATGCTCGGTGACGACAGCTGAGTGGAGCGAAGCAGGGACCCGACCACCTGGCCGTGGGCTCCACCGGCAGCCAGGCTCGGGCGCTGCCGCCACCTCCAGGAGGTGCAGCCGAAATCCCTCCTCCAGAGTGACGGGCTCAGCCCGAGGCTGGCCGAGTGTCACCAGCTCTCGCCTTCCGGCCTGTGCCGGCTGCATCTGCATCGTTTCCCGCTACGGGCTCACTGTCCCCAGTGCACTAGACGCGCGTGGGTGCAGCTCGCGCCCCCGTGAGCCCTCGTCGGTGTCTCCCAGCTGTCCCCACGTGTCCCTGCGGTGATCTGAGCGTTCTCGCTGCCCCTCGGGGGCAGAGACCATCAGGACAGCTCAGGGGGCAGCCCCCGCCCGAGGGAACAAATGCTCGGCGAGAAACGCGGGCGCCGCGTGTGCTTCAGGGGGTCTCGCGCCCAGCTGGCCGGCAAACACGGAGACAGCTGTGGCCACGGCACACAGTGCCTGCTTCACCGCAGCAACTGCTTCCGTCCACGGGAGCAAACTGACAGCTGGAGACTCCCTGGGAACTGCTCCGGCTCAGTGACAGACGGCGACAGGCCAAGAAACAAACCCGAGAAACCTTTTTCCTGGGAATTCCACTTAAAACGAACAAGCTGACCTCGCAGCAAAGTAGGACTTCGTCCGTGGCCAGAGAAACAACATCCCGCACAGTCTAACTAGAAACACGTGGGAAACGTTTATTTTCTCCAGAACGATGACATCATGATGAAGAGAGCCAGCTGGCGTGTGCAGATGCATAAACAGGAAACGGGACAATGACATCAAGCTCCTCGTCCCTCAGGCCCCAATTCTCCCAAACGACCTTAACTTGCTCTAACTGGTTTGCGAGTCTGTCTCTCCTTTAAATCAAGGGCACCATGGATGCAGGGTCAATGGTCTTATTGTCCCTTGTGTTACCAGTTCAAGGCACAGGGCCTGGGGCACAGCGGAGACCAGGAAATCTCTCCCCGGGGCGGATGGTTGGACAGACAGTGAGGGGGTCCACACCATTTCTCAGAGACGGGGCACCCCATGGCACCCGTTTGCACGTGCTTTGCAGGGGAAGCAAAGGAACCCTTCTGAAGGCTGTAAAGCAGCTGAGCCACGTGAACACGTGGGTGCATGCCAGTGTGGCTGAGTCTGCTTTGCCGTTCTGAGTGACTGTGTGTGACCGCCTCCTAACGCTAAGCGATGACTGACGGCCCCTCACCCCAGAGCTGGCCCTCGCCGTCAGGCAGCGCTGGTGACGGGGCCGGCACGTGCCTCACCTGAGGCAACAGGATCGGTGCAAGGGATGCACTCGATCTGGCACCGGCCAAACCCGGGTTGAGGTGCCAGTGGACCTCAGAGCAGGTGCCAGACACGCAGCCGTACCCCGCAGCTGCCCGTCAAGCGTGGGGGTGGGACCCGGAGAAGGAGGCTGGTGCCTGGGACAGCCTCCCCGGGGGTCCCACCCCTGCGGCTCGGCGCCCCGTCTTCACTGTGGCCATCTTCCGTGACCGCTGACCACTGCGGCCCGTCCTCACCGTGGCCGTCACCCACGACTGCTGACCACTGCACCCTGTCCTCACCGTGGCCGTCACCCATGACCGCTGACCACTGCACCCTGTCCTCACCGTGGCCGTCACCCATGACCGCTGACCACTGCACGGCCCACCCCCAGGTCCCACGGCACCCACCGCCAGTGGGCGTCACGGTGCGTCTGGGTGGGGGAGGGGAAAGCGGCCGCAGCGGGTGCTTTGAGAGCGCACCCACCAGGTTTAAAAAGCGTCATTTAAGAGAGATCGCCTAAGCGGAAATGCAGTGTCTTCAACTCCCTCGTGTTAAACGTATCTGCAGAGACGCAAACGAAGACCAAAGGTGGAACAAAGAGCGAGCCCAGCGCACGCACGCGAGGGACGCTGGCGGGCGGGAGCCAACGCCCGACGGGAAGGCCTGGCCCTCGCCTCGAAACGGGTGCGAAGCGCTCGCGATGCCCGCAGTTAAAGACCAGCCCCGTGTGCGGGTGACGTCCACGCGTGACGCTGCCTCACGCCCCCCCGGAAAACGCACTTTACCGCACAGTCCAAGC